ATTTTGTATATATTTATACTGTACATATTTGCATTTATACTTTTTCTAGGCTCAATTTTGAAAGAGTACAAACACAAATATATAGAATGCAAAACCTTATATTTTATATTATTTTGTATGTATTTGTACTGTACATATTTATATTTGTACTCCTTCCAAACTGAGCCATTTTATATGAGTTTCTATTCAAAATTTGTATTAGAAACATACAATTTATCCGTGTACATATATACTTGATATCGAATTTGTTGAAAAGTTGAGAATGACAATAAATCCATAAATTTCGTTTTATTATTCTTTTTGCAATATTTTCTGGTTGCCTCTGAATTTAATAAAAAAAGGCCATTACGCAATTTGGAGTCTTGAGAGGGGTCGGCTGACATGTTCTTAACCTTTGACATTTTATTACACAAAGTGGCTGCTTTCACACTCCAATCTGCATTTTCATGTTTCACAGTCTGAGATTTTATCATTACACCAATTAATTAACCTTTGGCCTCTGAATTTAATAAACTATAAAATAAATAAATAAATGATATATAGATTGACTGGGGTACTTCTAGTTTTTGAAGTGGGAAAACAAAACCAGGGGCACAAAAATTGCTGACAGTCTGCCTTAGCTGTCATGGGTGTTGAAAGAGAAATTTCCAAAAGATTCTGAATTAAAAAAGAGGAGAATGACGGTTCAGCCCAGGGTCAGAATTTTTAGGCCGAAAATACAATTGGGCGAGTGTCAGTTTAGAATTGATGTTAATTTAGGACCGCCATTGGTGTATAGAGTAGGGTTTTTAACATTTTAAATGTTTATGATTCTGCAATAGAATTCAGAAATCTGCATTGGACTTATCTGTATTTTTCCGAAAAAAAAACTTATATCCAAGAGTACTGATGGTACATGATAATTTTTGTAGGGATAAAATAATCACCCAAATGCCTGTACTTATTAAATGGGTCTCGAATTATTGAAATGCTGAATGGTACATCTTTTAAATTTGGAATCTTTTCCACATTTCACTTTTGGCTCTTATTTTAGCAGTTGTAGTCAAATATATACATAGTTTTCATTTTATTTAACGATAACCGTCGGACTACTTGTCAAATGGATAAATTAATAAGCATTTTAAGCACCTATAATATGACATTGAATAAATCAGAATGACAAAATCCGAATTTATATAGTTAGGACAAGGCTCTTATTTTAACTGCAAAAAAGAGATAAATCCGGAGTTTCAAATACAGCCCAAGTATGCTAAATTTACAGCTTAAGTATATAATAGTATTGAAGTGCAACATTAACAGCACAAAGGTGCAAGGTTTACAACATTTGGTGCTTTCGCTGTACCAACACCTTGAAATGCGTTTTCTAGGGGGTTAATTAGTTTTCATTTAATGACAACCTTCCAAACTACTTATCAAATACATAAATATTTGACACTGAAGAGAACAAAATGGGACAAGGCTTAAATGATAGTGATGAGAGTACATAGTATAGTAGTACTGGAGGACAACAATAGTTTACAGGAGTTCACATCTCTGCCCCATAATACATCCTCGCAGTATATTGAGAATATCTCTATGATGGCATCATTGGTTCTGGTATTATCATCGGAAGATATTCTCAATACATGACAGGGATGTGCTATGGGGCATTGTGGGGTAGGACGTTGTGGGGTGGAGATGTGAACTCAGTTTACAGCATTTGGTGTTTTGTCTGTACCAGTGCAACGACACATATTTTATGCGGGAATTTTGGAGTGTATTTGACGACATCGTTTGTTTTGTTTTTGAAAATAACAACAATTGCCACATCAGCAAAAACATAATATATAATTTTTGCTGATGTGGCAATTATTCTTGTTTTCAGAAACAAAAACCATGTTATCGGACACCCCCCTTGGTCTGCAAATTCCAAGAGGTATGGCACCAGTTTAGAGGTCATGACCTTTGGCATTCCTAAACCGGTACTGTTTCTGGGATTCAACCATGGAACTGAGATTAATCTTGACATGGGCCATTTTTGGTGGCCCACTTTGAGGCCCAACTTGATATATTCCAACCTGAATTTCGGCAGATATGTTTGGGCCCAATGACCTGGGCTGCTTCCGCGCATGAGATCTGTTGGGGCCTACTAGGTGGCCCGGGCTGGACTACTTGTATAAAAAGGGTCAAAGTGAGGGAGGATGGCTTAGAAGATGATTAAAGTGTATAGACAGGATTATCTCTATATCACACTCTCTATTTCATTGATTTTAAATACTCAAGTAAGGCTTTACTTAGCTGCTTTATCTCTCCTATTAGAGAATTTCTTGAAAAAAAAATACTTAGGTCTCATTTGATTCGCAGGAATATATAGGAGTTTGGAATTGAAATTGGAATAGGTTATTCCGATTCCAACTGTTTGGTTGGGAGGAATCGGAATTTTATTCCTATTCCTTTTGTAATGGTATTCTCCAATTTGAGGAAATGGTTATTCTCAGCCACCCCTTTTGGGAATGAAATCTCTTTCCTGCTGATTTTAATTTCCATTCTCATTTTTGCCTGAACCAAACAGACTACGGGAATAGAGTATTTCGATTCTAATTCTGAAGGATTTTGATTTCGATTCCAATTCCGCTTCTAAAAAGCTACACGCGATAGCTAAGGAGCACTAAGCCTTTTAAATTATTGAGTTCCACTCAAAGCATCTCCTATCCTTTTTGAAGTTAAATCAAGCAGACAACAATACTGGGAAGTTGCAGCTTTGACAGGGACGCTAGTCGTCCACATAAATGTAGGAGAACTGGAGAAGCTACCTACAAACAGCTCTCAATAAATCAAGCCTGTCTAGATTTGGGTGTTTAGTCATTGTATTAATGGGGAAAGGGTTTCTGTTTGTGGACATAACAACTTTTGTTTCTTATAATTTCCACAGTTTTTTTTGCATCGTGAGGGTCGAGGTGGCCAATTTGAATGAGCGTTCAACTGGATGCCCGAATATAGCAATACTGAAAATTCTCTGGTTCATGTCCTCCTCTACTTATTGCATTAATTTTTTCCCATTTGTGCAAAGCGAATTGAACATCTGTGGATGTCTTCACAAATAGAAGAGACAAGAAAGAGACTATTTATACCACATGGCAGAGTCTCTTAGGCTGAAAGCCTGAGACTTTATGGGTAAAGAGGGGCTGATGAGATGGTGGAACGCATTCAGATCATTGTTCACGTTACCTCAGCTGCTTTTGTATTCATCTAAGCATGGTTTCAAAAAACGATTTGGAAACAGAACCATTTTGGCTACCGGTTTTTGGATCGATAGTTCGATCATCCAGTTTGAACGAATGGCCTATTCTGACAAACAATAAAAAATGGCTAAAAACCGTTGAACTGGTCGATGGTTCAATCACCCGGGTCAATGAATTATTGACTTTTTCAACGGTTTTTGACCAAATACCGAATTTGAGATAAAACGGAACCGATTGCCTAAATAATTCCCGAGTCAAATGGTCTGACCATCCAGATCAACGGAAATTCAAAAACCATGCATCCAAAATAACTTGCAGAATTAAAGGATTTAGGAACCCTCTAGGAGGGCTGAGCTGAAGATTCAGCCAAGCTGGTACAGCTGCTTTGAACTGCTCCGACTCTTCATATAATTGATTGAAAGTTGATTTGGGGGGCTCATTTGGGAGGACTTCAGCTTTGATTGAACTGCTTTCACTTATCCGCTTTGAATAAACTACTAAAACTAGCTTCACCGGAAAGTCATTTTCTTGGCTGAATTAATGAAAGCATATCGGGGCTTCCGTGTTTTTCACCAAACATATACAACTTAGTTTTTCCATATGAGACTTACCCTGCAAAGCTAGAAACCGCTGCATAAAAGTCTAAAAATCCTCCCAAATGAGCACTTGGGCTCTTCGGATTTTTCACCAAACATAACTTATAGACTGTCTGTGTAAAGCCCACCTTCGAAATCCAGAAGCCTCTGCGCTTCAGCCATCCCAACGGGCACTTTAATAGTTAAATGGAGGATTAAAAATGGCTTAGCTAGACACAACTCCTAATAGCATGGAAAATTCACATATAAAGTTTTTGATAGGAGAAGTAATACCAAATTTGTGTGGATTATAAATCTTAGTTTTGCATGTAAATTTGACATAAGAGACTATTAATTGACACCACTTCAGATAATTAAGGCCCATCATTATCTTTCTTCTTATCAATAACCCCCAACCTCCCCACTACCCCACCCCCTAACCGGCCAACCCACCCAATAAGCCCTACTTCAATATCTTAATATAACCCTAACCAAGTCAACTACCTTCCCAATTCAATCTTGATTGCAATCCCACCCCCTTCCATCAAGCAAGTAATTTCTCATTAGGCTCAGTTTGGAAGGAGTACAAATATAAATATGTAGAGCATAAAACCTTGTATTTTGTATATATTTGTACAGTACATATTTGTATTTATACTCTTTCCAAATAGAGCCTTAGACTCTATTTTGGAAGGAGTACAAATATAAATATATAGAGCGTAAAACCTTGTATTTTGTCTTAATTTGTCAGTCCCGGTGAACTGGAGACAAAATCATACACATCTGGCTGAACTATCTATCATGGTTGAACACGCTAGTGTTCAATACAGCTGGGTCCCAGAGTGAACACTGGTGTATTCAACCGTGATAAGTATAGTTCAGCCGGGTGTGTATGTTTTTGTCTCCAGTTAATCCGTTGTCTTAATTTGTATGTATTTGTACTCCTTTCAAACTGAGCCTTAGTTGCAGTTGTAGCAAAGTAGATATTTGTATTTGTACTCTTTCCAAATAGAGCCTTAGTTGCAGTTGTAGCAAAAACATGCACCTTCTCATCAAAAGCCCTATTTTTTTAAACCTCTCTCACAGCACAGACCCATCTTCTCCAATTTGAGTCCTCCTTTCCTACATTTACAGTCTGATCGGACTGCATTTCTTTCATACACAAACAATGCCATTCACTTTTCTGACAGAAGAATAATTCAAGTGGTTTTGTAAAAATAAGTACATTAATTTTATTCTGTACTCCAATAAGATGAATCTGATTCTCCATGCATACCATACGGGCATTGTTTCATCTGTCCAATACTAACTCAGTGTACAAAATATGTGAAAAAACAAAATAGAACACAATATATGAGAGATAGATAGATAGATAGAGAGAGAGAGATGAACTGACAAAGTGGAAGTTGTTTCATGGTTGCTGTCTATGGATGAATGAGGGAACTATGTCTTGTAAAAGGCCATAGTCGGGAAGTTGGAGCTGCTGAATATGAGGAATATGATGATGAGTTAGGTTTTGTTGGAAGATGGAGCCTGTGCCTCCCTGGTTATTTGTCGAAGGCAACTGAACCAGTAGTTCTTGTGGGAACATTGACCCAGCTGATGGAGGCACTGCTAACATGGAAGGAGTCATCATTCCAGTACTACTAGTGTTGTGTCCTCGAAGTGTTGCTGGGCACTGATGGGTATGCTGACCTTCATATGTAGTGATCACGATCGATGGATCTTGGACTGATCTCTCCACACGTTTCTTCACCGAGCACTTCTGGCTAGTGCACCTGTAGTAGCTTCTGCTTCAATGATAGTGAAAAGATTAATAAGAAAACTTGAAAACTCTCTGGGTTAATCTAAAACTTCGATCAAATTAAGAAACTACTGTAAGTTGAGTCACACAACGTTAATGTCTCTGAAGTTGCAGACTTGCAGACATTTCAATCAAATCATCAACCAGGTCCCATAATTTACAGTTTTCTAGATTAAGAGTTCAAATCTAATTATCTTAGATAACACCCAAAAGGGAAAAAAATTAAGAGTTTTTTCTGTTAATTCTGTGTGGGTTTATCTACAGAGAGTTGATCAGTTGAAGAAACAAACCTTGGATAAGGGCTGTTCTTTACTGCCTTCTGCCCATATTTTCTCCATCTGTATCCATCCTCAAGATGATCAACTTCGCTCTTAGTCATGAAAGCAAACCTTGGCTCCCTTTGCCGTTTCTCTCCTTTCTTCTTGGGCTTGTTCCTGATGGTTTAACCAAAAAAGGTCAAATTCAAGCACGACTCATCTATTAAGAAGCGAAGAACACCACATCTAGATCGAGTTTCAATTCCATGATAAATAATCCGACCCAGATGATCAATTAGGGTCTTCATAGCGTGTTTGATCAATTGTTATTGCATTCAACACTGTCATTTCGAGAGATCTCTAGAACAGATCATAAACAAATATGAAGATCGTTTTTAGTTCCTACTGTTTTTAGGAGATAGTGAATAATTTTCATCTGGAGACAATAAAAAAATCGAAAAAGAAAGATATTTCAGTGGTTCACGTAAGCTTGAGAATCCTCAGCAGTTCACATTTGGGAGAAGACCATCTACCAGAGGGTACTCAAAGCCCACGAAGAACCTTCTGGTGGTGATATAAAACCTTTACCAGGAATCCAAAAAAGAGAACAAAACCTACACTTTCTTAGATTTGTCCACTGCATCTTCAGACCCTTTCGGCTGCCGATCTTTCTTACTCTTCCCGGAATCTTCGCCTTCTCCTGCTGACTCCGAGGACGACGAGGAGACAGATGAATTGGGTGTCGCCGGAATGTCACCGGTCCCAACTGACTCTCCCGTACCAGCTCCCTTCTGACCGGCATCATCCACAGGGTAAAGCACATCCGGTGAAGAACAAGAGAAGTCGAAAGCTCTCGACAGTGTACTGTAATCCATTGCGCCATGTAAACACTCAGTGAAGCTCATGTAGGAAGGACCAAACCCAGGTAGATCGTTAGCTGATGAGTCTCCTAGCCCATGACCCGATTGATTATACATGGAAGGGTGATCAGCTGAGAAGGGAAAGCCGCTTCTGCCGACGTTGCGGTGATAGTCGTAAAATGGGTCAAGGTGGTAGAGATCTCTGGCCTCATCAGACATGGAAATCGAAGAAGAAGAGACACGGAGATGGCTCTGAAATAGAGCTCTGGTGAAGGTCTCAGGCTTTTGGTTTTATTATTGAGAGGAGGCTTTCAGAGAGAGGGTTGAGAATTTGAGAGCAAGCTTGAAGCTTTGAATAGTCTTTGATTGATCTCATGAAGCTGAAGCTGGCGATGAGTTAGCGGTGGCCACCGGCTATAGCCGGTAACGAGGCTCCTTGTGAATTGTGGTCAAAGTTTCAAACTCTTCTGTGGATTCGAAACATCAGGCTTACACGTATCAGATGGGCACCGGCATTTGACCGTAGCCGACATCAGACTTGGCACGTGAGAATCAATTCTTTTGTGTGTGTCCTGCTGACGAATGTCGACGTAGTCTATCTACAGAATTATAGTGATGCCAATGGCGCCAACTTATGGTTAAAATATTAAATATACATGGTATTTTTAATTTATTGGAATATTAAATTTATATTTACAATTTTATTCAAAAAATAAGAATAAAAGTTGACGGATCATAAGACAAACTAAACTATAGAGCTAGTCAATGAGAGAACAGTTATTTTGTTGCTAACAAGTGAAAGGCTGAATTTGGGTCTGAGCCTCTGGGATAGAGGGTTTGTATAGCCCGGGTCCCACATAACTTGCCACGTGTTCTATGATTCATGGACCCAGACCCACCATTGGATGTGTGACATTTGTCATATTTGTAGATTAAATGGTCCAAAAATCAGCCCTGCAAAGGAGATTATTTAACTTTAGAATTGACAGATTTAAAAATCAGCCCTGCAAGGAGATTAATTGGTCCCAAAATGTCTTCGGGAGAGTACAGAAAGTAAATAACTTTCCTCAATTTTAAGCTCAAAATTAAAATTATTTTCTTTAATACATACATAAAACCCCATTAAGCCATGAATAAATACAGGCCCACCTATATTTTATGTTTGGATATTAATTAATTATAATAAGGGGGATGGAGGATCAAATACTAGATTATTTGATACCATTTCAAGGAATCATTCAATCAAAATGATTAAGCTATTACATAAGGTTTCTGAATAGGTTTTTATTCCCAACCACTATTAAGTGAAACAATGCCTTACTCAAATTAAGGTTTTCCTATTATGAATTTTCAACATATTTACAAATATGTCTATATTTTTGCTTGAATATTCTTCAAAATAAAAAATAAGAAAATGATGCTTAACTATATACGCAATTTTACTGAGGGCAAGTTTGTTTTTGGTAAATGTTGGGGAAGGGAAAATTGATCAATGGAAAAAATGATTTCTATTGACCAATAATTCCACATTCTTTTTGTTGGGTATCACTTACCTCGATAAATTATACATTTCTCCTAGGTGGGTAAATAATTTTTCAACTTGAAAGGAAAATTATCGGCCCATGATGGGATAATGTTGTTCCTTCTAATTTTGTTCTTTTAAGAATAAAACAGTCATTATCTCGGTCACGTGAAAAATAAAAGAACACAGATGAATACTTACCTGGGTAAGTACATTTATCCAAATAAATAGCCAAAAGAAAAACAAACGGGGCCTAAAAGCATATGGCTTGTGTATTAGAATCTTCCCAATTATGTATAAAATTATATTTTGGCAAGAACTCAGTTTTTTGGTTGGAATTCTACGCATTCATTCTAGAATCGATTCTAATAATCCATCTACAGTCTAATTCTGGCAATCTGCACTACAGACTGGAAAAATTTTACAATATTAGACTTCAAAAACCAGATGATTGCCATTGATTCTTGTGTTACATTGTTATAATTCATTTAAAACTTAGGCTCACTTTGGTTTGCGGGAATAGGGTTTTGGAATTGGAATCGGAAAGGGTTATTTTGATTCTAACTGTTTGGTTAGGCGGATTCGAAATTCTATTCCCATTCCTACTAGACTAGCATTCCCTCATTTGAGGGAATAGTCATTCTCTGACCATTCCGATTCCAATTCTAGAGGATTTTGATTCTGATTCCGATTACGAATCAAACGGACTATAATTACTATTTGGGTTATTCTCTCTAGTCCTAAAAACAGTAAACCTACAACTTTATAGCTTTCTCCTTTTCTTTTTCATTTTAAAGTTTTGACCAAATCAACCGATATATGTATATGTATGTATGAATAAATTTATGATACCAGAAATACATGTACCAAAATAGCTTTATTCAATCAAAGCACCCTATGAACTTTTATGAATACCACCTGATTGATCATTTTTTTATGATACCGAAAATGCATGTATACATTTATATATATACATACAAATTAGTAGAATAACATTCTCTCTCTTTTTTTTTTCACAATCATGTTTGACTTATAAATAAAATATCGAAAAAATTTGGATTTTTTTAAAGACAATCTCTTCAAGAACAAGTACAAATATGTTCTTACATAGAGACATTCTGATAAGCAAGCAGATCAGTTGGGTGGCTAGGTAGGGAGTCTCATCAAAGAGGCCAAGATGGACCCACTGGATGATGTGGACCAGGACCCACCAGATGGGTCATTAATTTGTTCACTTAACTACTTCTCAGCCTTACCCCACCATAGTCGGAGCTCTCTCTAAGTTCCCATTGAGGAGGACTTCCATGTTGCTGCTTTTAGCTTTGTGAAGTGGGGGGCCATTCAAAAAGTCTCTAGGCAATGTTCCATGAAAAATCCAAAGAGCCCAAACTGACTATTTTTCAGCCACTCAGTTTTTTAGTGAGGCTTCTTTTAGTGGCTTCTCTAAAGGAGTTCAACCAAAATTGAAGCCCTTCAAAAGTAATAACAGTCATTCGAAGTTCCTATCTTCTGTTTCAAATAAAGGTTGAAAAGGGGTTCAAGTTCATAGTTCAAAGATAAGTAGGGATCTCTGAATTGAAACTTTTCCTTGGGCTGCATTTGGCAAGAGTGCAAATGCAGAAATGAGGCAAATTTTGTATTCCAGTTTGGTCTTACAGTTGTTCGGTAAGAATACATCGTAAGTAGCGGATCCAGGACCTTTGATCAGTGGGGGCACACCTGTGGACTCACCTCTGAGGCCTTTTAAAACTATGAAAAAAGACCTCATTTAAGAAAATTTGATCTCCTACTATTTTATTTGAGTGGGGGCAATTGTAAAAAAAAAAAAAAAAAAATTCTTCATATACATATAAAGCAGTTTCAAATTTCAGTGGGGGCAATTGCCCACACTGACTTCTACATAGATCTGCCATTATACTCAAAATGGGATTCAAAGTTTGTACTCAAAATTGGTCAATGTAAAATAAGACGAATTCTAGTCTTGAAATTTGTATTTTTATTCATCACAACCAAACACAAATATACAAACATTTATCAATACAAAATCCAATCAAATTTGCATTTTCATCACTTTCTAACTAAATTTACATTTACATCAATACATATGCGTTTTGCACTCTTACTAGTTACAAAATTCCCTCTCATCTTTTATCAAACCAAACATAGCCTCAAAGTAACAATGGGGAGGGTTAACTTTTCTGTGCTGCCACAGGGAAGATTCTTGGGTCATTTCATTAAGATGTTCCCTACACTAGCTAGGCCTATTAGTGCACAAACAAATCAATCAATCAAACGATTTCATTAATTCAGATTTCTTTCATTCATGGGATGATAGAAAAGAAAACTGGAAAAGTAGGGATTTGCCCGATGCAGATTTTTGATTTACACTGCAGGATTATAAACATTCAAATGGATCGATACCCACACTCTATGCACTCACGCCGGCCCGTAAATTGGTACATTAAACCTATAAATTCTGACACTGAGGGTATCGGTCATTCTCCCAAAAGAAAAAAGCCAAATGAAGATAAAATGAAATTCTAGCCTAATAGCAAGTCTGGATGCAATGAACATGTTTCTATTGAGAATGTTTTTACACTTTCCAGTCTTCAGTACACAGAGAGTGGGTTCTGTAAAAGGAGAAAGCCAAAGGCCCAAAGCGTCTGATTATCAAGGAAGTTAGAGATACGTCATGTCCTCCATCTCTTGTGTGAACATATCTCTCTGCCACCCGTATGAAAGCAAAAGGGATGGTCAGTGTCTTGGATCAAGGGCCACAGAACAGGCCCAAGTACTCTGCCCCAATAACTCTTCACATGTCCCATTCTCATTGTGGTGGGGCATACTCCCATATCTTCTATAAGAAATTGCTTTTTTGCTTTTGACAATAACCAATATGACCCAGATTACTTTTTTAGCCACCCCAGATTATTGTGTGGTGAGTTCTTTTGGGTGTTTATTTCCAAATCTTTTCTTTTGCTGCTGATTGCGTGGGCTTGCCAAACCCTAACTAATGGTTAGAAAGCGTTAAACTTTTATCATTTTGATAAGGGTGATTTTCCTTTATACTTTCTGAGATAGAATATGCTGCTTTAGATTATTTTTTCTTTTCAAATCATCAATTGAATATGATTGAACATTTTACAAGCACAGATGCCAAACATGCATTTGCTTGAGTTGATTTTTTTTCCAACTTTTGGGTTGGACCCACAACTACAAGATATCATTCAAGGGTTCCATGAAAGTGAAACAATTGAATAGTTTTGGGGGACCCAGATGGTTTCCTCTTGTAGTCTAAAACCAATATATAGAAGGATTTTTTATTTTGTATTTTTTTAAGTTGAAACTATACTGCAAGAAAATATTATGTTTTGTATTTAGAATGAAATGTTCTATTCAATTATTTTAAGTGACAAAAGTACCTGCTCTCCCCCTCTAATTCTAAAATAATCAAAGATTTAATTCAAATGTGACACAATCAATGGAACCCATTTTTATTTAATCCAAATTATGGTCTAGATAGATAGAAAATTAGAGATTATGGTTGTGTTTGGATAAGCTTCAGCTTTTGTGCTTTCAAAGTCCAAAAATACAAAACCCCAATGTACTTTGGGGCCTAAAAGTGTTTTAGTTTTAGATTATTATATTTTTAAAAGCATTTTTTTACCAAATGTTAAAAAGACAAAAGCTTTTTTCCACAACCCCAAAAAACAAAATACCTTAAGGCCTTAATTAAGGGAATTAGTTCATAAGGATTAGTCAGAATGAAGTTGCCCACAGGTCACCACCCTTATTTTAAGCCATGGACCCACCAGTTGATTGGTCCCCCCACAAGGAGAACCCT